TTCGTCTTTGTGGTAGTTAAAATTCTGGAATTCCACTGAATTTTCAGTGAAACCTGAAATTTCATTTTTTTCTCTAACAGAGTAGGGATCTGATGAGAAAATTTATGGGTTTTGGATAGCAGTCTTCCCCAAACTCACTGTTCATTATTCAAAATAATCTTAAAACAATTATGCTCCTCCTATTTTTAGGGCTGCAACATAGTTATATCATTAGCTCTGTGGATGATTCACCATACGAGTATAAGTGATGAATTGGCAATGTGATTTTACTAATTATAGCCGTTAATGTCGAAAAAAAAAATTTATGTAAAAAATTTTTTTTCTCATCTATATCGATATCACATTTCAAAATATTCTGAAAAAATTGGGGATTATTATTATTTATCAAGAGAAAAGAGAATCAATTGATTTTCGACTGGCCCCTGTGTAAAAGTGGAATTTGAAAAATTAAAACCTCTGAAAAAGGGTCATTACTCGTCCTCACAGTACTGGCGTATTTCTTTCGAATAGTAGATGAAAAAAGAAAAAAAATCGTTTTTTATTTATTAAAATCCGTCAATTAGTTCGCGAGATATGATTTTTCAAAAATTTGAGCTGTTGACGGATGTTGTAAACAAACAATTGATGTTGAAGGAACAAAAATTTACGGAAAACATGTACATACGTAGTACCTGACTGTATGTCAATTCAGGGTGACTGAGTTGATATGCAATGTCCCATATATATATATGAGGTATTCCATACCAAATAAGTCAACGGCTGACCCTCACCCTCTTGAAAATTGATGGCGTTTTTTTCCACGATTGGGGGGTTTGAAAAACTATCAAATTTTTTAAGATTTTTTTGACAGCCCAGTTCGAAGATATTTTTTTTTTCAAATTGTTCGTTTTTTTTACAATAACTCGAGTTCTATTCATCCGATTTCGATTTATTAGGGATCAAAATTTTCCATTTTTTACCACCTATAAGAATGTTTTTTGTCCAAATTTTTTCCAATCTCTAGATGCTTGAAATAACGAATTTTCGAGAAAAAAAAGTTGAAACACTTGAATTTGGTTAATTACGTCACGGTTGATTATTGTAATTTTTTTGTAGTAATTCCTATTATCAAAACAAAAATTTTGAGCCGTCATACATGTTGGGTTTCGTCTTAGATCTATTTAATTTTTAATTTTTTTATACTCAAAATTCCGCGAATTCGGTCAAAATACCCCAAAATCTCATTGGTTGACTCTGATTATAAACAGTATGAAGTAAATTGAAATAATGAAAATTTAAATATTTTTTTTCCGAAAATTCGTTGTTTTGAGCATCCAAAAGATTGGAAAATTTTTTTTAAAAAACATTCTTATAGGTGGTGAAAAATAGAAAGTTTTGCTTCCTAATAAATCGAAATCGGATGAGTCGAACTCGAGTTATTGTAAAAAAAACGGAACAATTTGAAAAAAATCATATTTCCGAATTGGGCTGTCAAAAAAATCTGAAAAATTTGAGAGATAGTTTTTCAAGCCTCCTAATCGTAGAAAAAATCGCCATCAATTTTCAAGAGGGTGAGGATTAGCCGTTGACTCATTTCTGTGGTTCCCGGTAGCTTAGTCGGTAAGAGTGCGCGGCGCGTATCTGGGAGACCCGGGNGCGGCGCGTATTTGGGAGACCCGGGTTCGTTTCCCGGCTGGGTGAAGCGGAAATTTTTTCTCTCTAAATTCTAATTCTCTTAGAATTTTATATATATATGTACTGAATAATACCGTAATATGTATATATATGTATATATATAACTGAATAATTACGGCAAAAAAAATTGTTAATTGTTCATTTGCTCCCCAGATGCTTAGAATGTTAAAAATAGTCCAGGGCCTCCTATTTTTGAACTACAGAGAGTTTTTTCTTTCAACATTTTTGAAAAAATGTGTACAATACCAATTACGAATTAGTTTTTTGAAATTCGAGTCCTACACAGCTAATTTCGTTTTGTTTAATATAAAAATTTACGCCATTCATGTAAAATAGACCGAAAAATTATCTTTAAAATATTTGAAATATATTCTCGATTCTTTCAGAAACATTTTTCAGGCCATTTTACATGAATGGTGCAATTTTCTATTCAAAAAATAACGAAATTAGCTGTGTAGTTGAATTTAAAAAAACTAATTCGTAACTGTGATTGCACACATTTTTTCAAAAGGTTTGAAAAAAAAGTCATCTCTGTAGCTGAAAAATTGAAGTGCCTGGACTGTTTTCAACATTTTAGGCGTTTGCGGGGATAACGAACAATAAACAATTGACTTCTCTGCACTAGTTATTCGTTTTTACACGTATGTAATTGAGAAATCTTATTCCAATAGCTCGCGACTTTTAAAACACGGTAATCTCCCCTTAAAATGTATCATAGAATTTTGTATTATCCGTTTTAAGTCACGGAGTAATTATTTACTCTTCATATGGCCATGGCATAAAGCCATGCCCTGATTGTGCATGTAAATGACCATGACTCAGACAGTTTGAGCGAAAAATGACTTCGATTTGTCTCTCAGGAGTGAATTGTAATATGGATACTTATTCAATTCAGGTAGTTTTATTTGCGACCTATAATCAGTAAATAATTTAAGAGAAAAATTGACGCATGATCAGGTACATCTCAATCAGGTCTAGTCGATCCTCTTAATGGAGGGTATCCTTATGATGAGTACATAATTACGATTCGACCTGATTTGGGGAGTTCATAAATCGAAAAGTCATTTTTTTCTTGAACTCTCTGAGTTATGATGATTCACATGGACAAATAGTCCATGGCTCTGGGCCTGAAGAGTACATAAGTACTCTGTGGATCGTATCGGATAGCACAAGACTTTGCGATGCATCTTTCGTTCCTTAAATCCTCCGGTCCCTCCTCGCCCTCTCTGTGACGCTAATTCAGGGTCATAGACTTTTTTGGGTTGATGGGTTGTCGATAGTTATTGTGATGAACCCATAATCATGATTGGAGTTGATTTGAGAATCACATAGAATGATGACGCATTGATTAGGCTAATTCTTTGCACCCAATAATTTTGAAGCAATCAGCCGTCACGACTCTTGTCGCCACCTTTTCAATCACCTTTCTGAGAACAATAGACTTTTCGTGACATTACAAAAAAAAAAAATTTACACATGTATATTCTATCAAACCGCTCAATTTATAGTTTCAAGAATTCGCAATTATTTCACGTGCAATTTACCGAGCCGATACTTTTTTTCTGTGGTACATAAAAAGCACATAATTAGTAGACAGAGGTCCACCAATTAAACCGCCCAAATTGTGCTTCCAATATTGACTCTCTCATTTCCACAAAATTCATGGGATCTAGAAAATATTTCCGTTGGTACAAAAATGACACATAATTAGTCGATAACGCAATATGAATCAAACAATCATGATTTTGAACCCAAACTGTTAGATGCAATTTTTAAAAGACCTAAGTGAGTACAAACATTTTTTTGTTCAGTACATAAAAAGCACATTATTAACACATTATTAACCGCCACTCGAAACCCCGTAATGGTGACCGTGTTTCACCAATTTCACGGGGGTTCGTAAGAGCTACAATCTCACCAAATTTCAATATACTATCTAAATTTCTGTAAAGATCTATAAAAATTTTCCGAAAAATTCGCACACACATCCGGACATAAATGTGTACGTCCACGTGAAAAGGGCCCACTTTGTCGCATCTAGTTTCCGAGATATTCACGTTTTTCTCTCCACATCTCCCATTTAAACCAATGTTAAATTGTTTTTTTGGTCGTCTATACTGACGTCAGTTTTCATTCTATCGGGTTGATTTTGGGCTCAAAATGTGAGAAATCTGATCAAGATTATCGGAATATACATAACTCCAATACCGTCAAAGTGGGCCCTTTTCATGTGGACGCCCACAAATACACATATTTTCTTAAAAAATCTCATCTTCACGTTTCATGACATTCTACGATATTTCCAGGCAAAATTAGAAGATCGTCAAAATCAACAATTATGAAGCTTCTATACGAAACAAAATGAGCAAACCGAAAAAATAAATTTTCCTATGATCTAACTGAAATAATCGACAGTATCTCTAGTTTTATTCTACGCAATCTAACGAATATTTTGAAAAAAAAATTAAATCGGAGAAAAATTCTGATGCAAAGTGCATTTCAAAGATGAAAACAAGAAAAACAAAGTTTTTTTTCCTACTTTTTAAGTACCCCATGATATGTCAAGAGTAATTTGATAGCTATTTTCCTCAACCGAAAACTGTTGAGTTTTCTGGCCGAAATTCTAAGGACAAAATAACCCCCCCCCCCATGTGCCTCAAGCATTGAAAATTAATGTGGATATTACCATCAACAAAAGTATACATCCTGTTGAGCTGCAGCTTCAAGATTACGGTTTATCCCTGGAAAACAGGTTTTTCTTACGATTGTCCCCTGGTTTTCATAGATAATGTTTATAATATTTCCCAGCTATTGAAAAAAATTCTAACTAGTTGTACTACACAGTTTATGGATTCTCCCGAACTCCGTGTTTTCATCTTATGAGAAAACGGCTCTTATGATGTTCTTGGAAAACAAATCTGTGGTAAATTGATAAATTCCGAATATGGTGAATTTTCTTGTAACATTTTCTAGTACATAGTTTTTGCGAAATTCAACTCTAAAAAATGGAAATTTCGTGAAATCATTTCTGATTTGATTCAAACAATTTATCGACAAATGATTTCTTATTTGACTCAAATAGTTATTGCTGCCTTCATCAACATATGAAGATAGAATAACTCAATCACTTAAGAGAATTCAATAAATTGAGTCATTTAGAGTGTTTTCCGAAAATCCATAGGGACCAACTTTTTGGTGGTATTGTCTAGGGACATACTTTAAACGATCACAACATTTTGATGGAAATGTATTTTTGTAACGGAGAATGTTAAATGGAAGCGAATAGGATGAATGAAGAATGGTTCATCAGCTATAATAAAATTTACTTGAATTGTGGTAGATGATGTGCTTGCTGGTGATTAATCAAGAGTTCTGGTGATGGTCCCCGTCTTCCAGGACACTTCCATTCCAGCTTCAAACACTGATTGTTACATTCCAGACTATCAATCATGACAAGAATATCTTCGGAATCCAATGACCAGTATTCCTACACGAAAACTACTATAAATTTGAGGAATGCCAACTCGAGTATGATCTAGTTTCACTCTACATCATAAAACTATACCTTGGATTCAACTCCATATTTCTCATCATCAGAACACTCAATTGCCCACTCGTGTTCGCCCATTTCCGGTTTGTACATAAAAAATTTTCAACAACAATCTACGGTGACAAAAAATATTTTTTCAAGGTTATTCATTATTCTACATTTCAAAATATTCACACCGGGTTCATCAAAATATTCCTCAATACTCTATAGTATTGAAAAACTCCCAAAAATTCATCAGAATACGATATAAAATTGTGATTTCATTAAAAGAACATTCAAATCCATTCAACTCGTATGTTGGGAGCACCAACAATGACAATTTCCCTTCCCTTATTTTCCTATCCTATCATAAAGAATATATAGGCCAACTGACGGTCTGTTCCGTTTGTAGCTACCACAACTTTGGCCGGAGATTATAGGGGAGATGAGTAGGGCCAATGTAAAGTCGGAGATTATAGGGGAGATGACAGGGCCAATGAAAAGTGTTCAACAACGAAAATCGAAGCGGAGGCGCATGGACTACGATGGAGCGTAAGGAACTGTTGGTATGATAGGGCCCGAGCATAAATTTGTCGATAACCGGAAAGGGGTTCTCAATACGGTAGCTCCTCGCATTTTGTAATAATTGTCAGGAATGTAAAATCGAACATATTATAATCAATAGTATAATGAATGCAGAATCTAATGATCTAAAAGTCTTTTCCTTTTTCTCGACATATTTATCATTGACACGTAGGTCAAAAAATTCATAGAAAATCCCAGCGCTGTCGCTGGAAAACTCTATAGTTTTCCTGTGATTCTATTGAATAATTGTGCAGATTTTGTTTTTTTTTTACTATAGTAATGTTCGATTATATATATTTATTCCACCCCTGAGTGACAAAGGAATATGTATCGCGCTCGCTCCCACTCATTGTCGTCTCCGTCACGCTGTCACGTGCCCGTCCTCCGCCGACATTAACGAGTGAGAAAGAAAATGGAGAAGAAGGAGAGAGAAAACATTCCAACTCGTTTGAAACGGTTGGAACGTTTTCGTTGTTCTCCAGCGATCTACACATAATGGGATTAATTCAATAATAGATTAATGAATAAGATTTTTCGCAGATTATTGCGAGATTTAAATGAATGGTTTGCCTCCTTCAGTGACCATAAAAAATTGTCTCCAATCGACAATATCTCCCGATGGAATGGAACGATGTGAATGAATCAAGTATCAATTTGAATCTTTAAAAAATTAATCCAGAGTGAAAAAAAATCCCGGCATTCCATTCTGAGATTTCTCGCAGAGAAATTGTCTGTGTTTACCGAGAAAAAAAAAACGTTGTTCCTAGGAATCGATGTGTCTTTTTTAGGCAGCTGCATTTCTGAAATGCAATGAGCAAGCAATGTTAAAATTGAGTCATTTTGTAAAAAATTTCCAGTGACATGATCCTGAAAATCAAAGGAAAGTTTTGAATTCAGGACTGATATCTGTAGGTTTCAGTAATATTTTCGCGGAAATTCCGGGAACATTGATTGGGAATTTTTATCGCGTTGCCGTAATACGGAAATTTCAAGGAATTTCGTCATAGCAAATTAAAAATTTCTATAAATTTCAGTCCAATTATATGTGTACGTCCACGTGAAAAGGGCCCACTTTGTCGCATCTAATTTCCGAGATATTCACGTTTTTCTCTCCTCTCCATTTATCCCAAAGTTAAATTGATTTTTTGATCTTCTATACGGACGTCACACGGAGAAAAATAAATCGGTAAAAGTCTTGNATCGCGTTGCCGTAATACGGAAATTTCAAGGAATTTCGTCACAGCAAATTAAAAATTTCTATACATTTCAGTCCAATTATATGTGTACGTCCACGTGAAAAAGGCCCATTTTATCCCATCTAATTTCCGAGATATTCACGTTTTTCTTTCCACTCCATTTATTCCATTGTTAAATTGATTTTTTGATCTTCTATACGGACGTTACACGGAGAAAAATAAATCGGTAAAAGTCTTGCGATCGCAAGGAGTTTCCCGAAGATCCCCATTTTTCATGCACGAAGAACAATGAAGCTTTTTGGAATCTTCGGGAAATTCTATCCTATCCTACTCAAGTAGGAGCGGAGGAATGCATTTTCAAAAGCGCGGAGTAACCCCGAATGGTTCACCGGCATCGAGTGAGCGCGGAGGGGCTCCACCGATTAGAAAATTCATTTCTCCTCCCCCCCGTGCCCACCTAATTGCGAAGAGGGAATGAACGCAACATCTATCGATCGAGANTAGGAGCGGAGGAATGCATTTTCAAAAGCGCGGAGTAACCCCGAATGGTTCACCGGCATCGAGTGAGCGCGGAGGGGCTCCACCGATTAGAAAATTCATTTCTCCTCCCCCCCGTGCCCACCTAATTGCGAAGAGGGAATGANGAGTTCGACGGAGAATTAAATTTTCCATCAATTAACTTTCTTTCATCCCTTAATCTTTGTAACAAAAAAATATAAACTGCCATGAAACTCAGGTGCCAATAAGAAAACTAATTCTTTCGCAGCGCACACTGACTTTTCACTATTCGCCCGCGACATAAAAATTCACCTTTCCCCTCCTAATTAAGATTAAGGGATGAAAAAACGGCAGTTCGACGGAGAATTAAATTNTTTCCGACGTCGAGTGACCCCGGAGGGGCTCTCCCGATTGGAAAATTCATTTCTCCCACTATAATTAAGATGATGGAATGAAACCGACGCCGATCGATAGAAAATTAAATTCTCAATAAAGGACAGCGGTTTCATTACTTAATCTCAAGTAGGAGCGGAGGAATGAATTTT